ATATATATATATTGCCCCCCACCCCTCTTTCTGATGTTGTCACATTCTAATCTTTGGTTACAAGTTTCATAAACACACTGATCAAACTGACCAGAGTTACTGCATCATCAACCAACAATACGCCTTCATTTATTTAAGTTTTACTTTATTTCAGGGATAATATACACAAACAGTAAATTATATACAGTGCCTATAAAGTACTTCCACCCTTGGATGTTTTATGTCTTTATTGCCAGTGTATCAAGCTTAAAAATCAATCATGGTCATTATAAATGGACTTTTGAAAAACAAAATTTCCATAAACCTTCTTAAGTGACAAAATWAAATYAAACTTTTACAGAGYATTACAAATTTAATAGAAGCATGTCGGGATCTGAATCTCTTTTATTGTCATCATGATTTGCATTACAATGAAATTGGATGTAATATAAAATAAGTGACAACATAAATATTGACCCCTATACTGTCCAACAACTTAATATTTACAGAAAAGTCWATGACAAGTTGGACACTAAAGAATTCCCAAGGCCCTAAACATCGTGAGTTCTGTTATATTCATCAAGAAACAAAAGAAAAGAGTTACTCTACCAAGGAGATAAGTTGACAAGTTGCCTTATTTTTTTATCATGGCAATTTAACAGCACTCTATAATATTATAAAGAGTGATCTTTAGCGTGAGTGATGAACCAAGATTATTTGTAAAGTCCCTAAGTAAGCCTAATCCCAGAGAACTCGTTTCCACCTCCTCCATTACCTCAACCCTGCTCACATCATTTCGATGATCCTTTTGTTACAGGAGGTAGACTGGCAGACTGGGCGCTATAAAAGAAGGCTGGTGCTTAAAATCATTGTTTTTCCCCCATTGACTGTGGTTACCAGCGAGGAAACTAATGCAGTCATGACTGCTTTGCAAAAAAAAAAAAGCATCACAGGCAAGAATATTGTGCTAGGAAGATGGGATGTAAATGAAACATTTATCAGATCATTGGGGGGTTTTAGGGAGAGCAGTTCATTTGTGATGAAATCTTTGGGGCACCCAGAAAAGTACAGCAAGACTGACTGCTAAAGTTGCTGTGGGATCAGAGAACCGTCAGCGCAGAGCTGGCTCAGGTACGAGTGCTTCTGCACGCCCAGTGATGCGAAGACTTCTGAAGTCTGGCTTGTTGTCAAGAAGGGCAGCAAAGAAGCCTCTGCTCTCCACAAAGAATATCGGGTACTCACTGATATTCTGCAAAAGGCCCAGTGATTGGACTGCTGRGGACTGTGGAAAAATCTTTTTCTTTGATGAATCCTTTCTTGATTGTTTGAAGCATCTAAAAAAGAAACTGCCCAGAGAAGACCAGGTGAGTGCTACCATCACAGGCTTAGGCATCAGGAGACAATAGACCATTCGATTTCCACAACAAACTTAGCGTTTCTACAGAAAGATGCGTGAGCTCAGCTGCCTTATGCATTTGTAACCATTTGTAAAATGGTTACAAATGCATAAGGTATAAAATGGTCTATTCATATGTTGGATTTCTTCAAAGTCAAATCTGCCTTACTCAGATTTTGCCCAAGAAGACAACGATGAATAAAATATGGTACTGAGTATCCCCTGAGAAAATCTTTTCCCAAAAGTCCTTCCAGCATGACGGAGGACCCTGACATAAGACAAATGTAATGAAAGGCTTGAGAACCAAACATCAACATTTTAGTTTCATGGTCAGGAAACTCCCGAGACCTTAACCTCATTGAGAACTTGGAGTTAATCCTCACAAGTTCCAATAAACTCCAAGTATTGATTATGTAAGAATAGGCTGTCATTAAGTGACATCAAGAGATGTCAGAGGTCTTGAAATAAAGGGGCATCACTTCAAATATTGAACCATTGCATTCATCTGATGTAATTATCAAGAAAAGCCTTTAAAATTTGTGAAAAGCTTGTAATGATACTTCAGTACAAAAACATCAAAAAAATAAAAATAAAAACACTGTAGAAGAAAAACAAAGAGTGTAATTTTCCACACCTTTTCACACCTGACTAAAAGTTGTAGTGTGAGCAAGTTGTAACGAAGGATTGAGAAAACTGCCTGGAGACAAGACAAGCAGAGAGACAACTGTCAGTTACTGGCTGGAAGCGGGTAATACAAGACAGAAAACACGGGATGTCTAATAACCTGAAAACACCAGCGTCAGATATGAGAACATAGTGATACAAAACTGATGGTAAAATAGTAGCAAGCAAAACCTACAAAAAAGAAAGAAACAAGAAACACACAATAAAAAATAAAAATTGCAGACAACAAAGAAAACGTAATGAAATATTCTCACCAGACTGCTCTGGGACAAGTGGGTTTTGCGAAGAACCCAGACAGGCCAATAGGATATAAAAATGATTTCAAACAAAACTGTTTGAAATAAGTCATCCTTAGAGACACCCTTGGGCTCAGGAAATTAACCTGAGTTAGATGCATCTTCCTGGATCCAGTCGGCATTGGGAATTTGATCAGGAGGAGAGGGGTCCTCATGTGCCTTCTTGGGTTTGAGAGAAGCATACTCCTGGACCTACCTAACAATAGATGTATCATCCAGGACCCCTTCAGACTCAAGAAATGGATAGGTTAGAGACATTCCCCTAGACCCCTTTGAGTTTGGGAAATCTAGAAGTGTCCTCCTGAGCCTCCCTAGACTTGGATTGGACCATGGCTCAGGGACGTGATTGACAGAGGCTTGGGGAGGAACCATGGCAGTGGCAAAGACCTGGACAGGGGCTGTATGGGACCTGATCAGAAGCAGTGGCAGGGCCAGAGACCTGGACAGGAATCATGGTGGAGTCTGGAGAAAAAAGCTTGGAGCTATTGGTTTAAAATTTGGGTGTCATGACGTGAAACTTGAGTGCACTGTTATCAAGCTCAGCAGTGAAATGTTGAATGATCYTGGAGGTGTAGCAGTGCACAAATACCATGGTGGAAGTGTAGCATTGCAAGAAAGACCGAAATGGAGCAAGATAGTAGGAAGAATCTGTACACAGAGCTGCAGCACAGGAGGCCTCAGAGGCTGCTATGATTCAGGGGTATGCAGAAGTACAAAGACAAGTTTTGTGGTTCGGTGGTAGCTGACAGTCTGTTGCTGGGTTTTGCTCATGTGGAGGTTCTGATGAAGCGATGTGGTACCCAATGTTGCTGCAGCACAAAATGAATTGAATCAATTTAATTTAAAATATCAGTAACAGCTTTGTCCAAACTATTCTCCGTCACTGAGACATATGTTGCAATTTAACTGCAGCTCCTGATTTCTGTAAGGATAAACTTGATTAATTTAAGACTAAAACTTGTATTGTACTTAAAATTGATTTTATCCATCTGGTTTTCTGCTAAATCTGAATATAAT